TAATTCAGTGATTTTAGAAAATTTCTTAGTTGGTTTTATTTTAGTAATAGTTTTAACGTTTGTAGTTTTCTCTTCGTGGGTTGCTATAGATCCTACATCAACGCCAGATTCTGCTAAAGCGTCTTCTATACCAGCAAGTGCAGCATTAGCAAATAAATTGCAATAAAATCTTATTGATCTGATAGCATCATCGTTACCAGGAATGGGATGGTCTATATTGTCTGGATTAGAATTGGTGTCAACAATAGCAACTATTGGAATTTTGAGCTTTACCGCTTCTTGAATCGCTAGATGCTCTCTATTAGTATCAATAATTATCAACAAATCTGGTTTTGTTCCGATATGCCTAATTCCACCTAATGATTTAAGCAATTTATCTTTCTTGCGGGTTATGTCTAGAATTTCTTTTTTGGTATAAACCGAACATTCCTCTTCATTTGCCAAAATTTTTTCAAAATTATCTAATTTTTTTATTGAAGTAGAAATTGTTCCCCAGTTGGTTAGCATACCACCCAGCCATCTGTGATTGATATAATATTGACCACATTTTTCTGCGTGCTGTGCGATTATATCAGTAGCTTGAACTTTGGTGCTAACAAACAGTATTTTACCATTTTTTTTGACAGTTGTGTAAATTACTTCTAAAGCCATTTGCATTAAAGCAACAGTTTGATTCAAGTCAATTATATGGATATCATCCCTGATTCCATAAATGTAAGGTGCCATTTTAGGATTCCAGCGCGAGGTCTTGTGACCAAAATGCACTCCAGCATCTAAAAAATCTTTAACATTGACATCTTGTAGTTTATACATTAATTAAATCTCCTTATGAATTGTTAGTTATATGTACCTATTGCTAGGTACTCCTCCGTAAGAATTGATACCAAAGAAATTGAATCTGTTGGACTAACAATTGGGTTTATCAACAAAGTTGATTTTAAAATTTTGTTAACAAAACCAAGCTCTTACGTGTGAATTTTGCTTATTTAAATTAATAATAAAAACAAGCGAAGTAATTATAGCTGTTGGTCAAGATATTTGCAAGGAATATGTCATTCTATGAAGGAAATTATCTGTTAATCTTACATCCCTATTACATATTTTTTGTTCTTAACTCTTGAAAATAAATTATAAGATATTATATCAAGAATTATTAAGTTGATTTATTAATCAAGATCAGGAGTATATATGGGAAAAATTATAGGTATAGATTTAGGGACTACCAATTCTTGTGTAGCAGTAATGGAAGGGAAAGAACCAAGAGTGATAGCCAATAGTGAAGGAGTTAGAACTACTCCATCTATGGTAGGCTTTGCAAGTAATGGGGAAAGATTAATTGGTGAACCAGCAAAACGTCAGGCTGTAACTAATCCAGCTAATACCCTATATGGTGTTAAAAGATTAATTGGTAGAAGATATGATGATCCTATGGTCAAAAAAGACCAGGATATTGTTCCCTATAAAATAGTAAAAGCTACTAATGATGATGCTTGGGTTGAAGCAACAGGAGAGAAATATTCTCCTAGTCAGGTTAGCGCT